TTCACCAAATTTTTTGACCAACACGGACTCAATCTCCTCCTTGGTTAAATCATTTCCTTTGACCCCTGTAGTAAATGCTGTCACATGGTCACGTGGATCGGTTGTGCCGTCATATTTTGAAATGTCAGGCATTTTGAACTTTTTAGGGATTGAAAGGGGAGCAGCACTTGATTTCCAAGGTTGTTGTGAATATTTATCCGCATCTATTCCTTTGATTATTGGGGGAACTCCAGGGATTTGCTCGATGCGCTCGTTTTGTTCTTTGAGCTGTGTCTGCAAAGTTAGTACCAAATTTTGTAAATAAGAATTATTTGTATTACCTGGATTCATTTCTCGTGGTTCAATGGGGGTTCCTTCGTTTGAATTAACAAGGCCAGAACGAGGATTCTCCAGCGTATTGTTATTAGGCGAAGGTGTGGACGGCGCAGCAGGTAACCGGCTAACTAGCGCCTGAAGAGCTTGGCTAACCCGTGCATCAATTATTCTTTGCAGAGCTTCTTCTGGTCCCTCAAAATGTTCTAATTGCTCTTGCTCATCAGCATGTGATTTAGGAGTGCCTTCACGAGATTGATGTGGTGAATTTTGAAGAGAAGGGATCACGTTAAAGTTCTGCAAATCTCCTTGATCTTGATGCATTTGATTTTCACGGTTTCCCAAGGTGTTTTCACTGTTATTATTGTCGTGTGACCTGATGATAACAACAGATAGAATGTAACTTAAAAAGAATAGATTATCAGATTTCCGGTAACGGAACCAATTTGTTTAACCAAAAAATATAATTTCGGTTAAAACTAGAATTTGAGATGAAAAATCGGGTTACTGATAATCAAGAGACCAAAAAAGAATAATAGGCTTTCTGAGAATAATAATAAAGCAGCGAACAAGTTTTTATTTCAGTATGATGTCAACCATCATCTTTTCCCAATACAACTTCCTCCTTTTATAGTTGATTCTAGATAAAGGAATGAAACCTAAGCTTTAATGAGACAATTATGGACAATAAATGATATTAAATGAGCCGTTACACAATCATTCCTATTAAATACCAATTTTCTAACTTATCAGGTATTTAATACTGAATTTGGGCTCCTTTTTGTCTTCAGATCCATATTTTCAATGCCTTTGATCCACTGGCTTTAAATGACTCGAATTGATACGAGACTCGTATCTAAACTGCTTCTCGTGCCTGTTTCACTTCCTCTTCTCGTACCTGTCATCTCCCGTACCTTTTTCTTAATTGTTATACTTTGACTATTTGTCCAGTCCACGTGTCACGCCACGTCATCTTCAATATAAATTCAACTTTTTCCCAATACATAGCTAGGTTGGAAATGATAAGACATGAAATGACAAGACCTAGGTAACTAGGGTTTTATTCCTCTATTGTATGAAGAAATGACACGTGTCGAACACAAGTTGAATGAGATAAAAAGAGTCCAAATCTTGTCAAATAATACACCATGATATCAAATAATGCTAAAGGAAATAATTATGGAGCATAACGGCTCGATCTTTAATCAATTATACAAAGTCAACAAAAAAGTCAACCCGGGCCCACCTCTCAAAACCTGACAAATCTAACAAATCTCGACTACTGATTCGAATACGAGTCCAAATATGAAAGTTTTATCCAAATAGAACTCTAAATCGGGGTTTAAATCTCTATTATTCACTTTCCAAAATCTAGTACAAAAATTCCAATTTTTCCCTTTTAAGATCATGTTTTAAGTGTACAAATTCATGGGGAATTGAGACATATAGTCAATTCCACATAGAAGTCACTTACCTTCAAAGTGGTGATGAAAATCTCCCCAATAATTTCCTTTATCCGGGCTCCAAAATTTCAAATAATGAAAAATGAGTAAACCCTTGAAACAAAAGAGGTCTGCTAGATATACCACATATAAGGTCAAAAATCTTGCATCAGCGAGTCCGCCTTTGCTATCCAGTCATCGCATCTGCGAACTCCCAGCGACTGACTAAGCCTCGTAGGTGCGAACCCCCTTGTGCAAAAGCGGCGATTACTTCTGCGGAAGTTCATCACACCAGCTGGCACGCATCTCCGGAATAACCTATCACAGGTGCAACCACTGCCAAGGCTACCCTCCATCACAAAAGAAACTACCTCTTCGCGGCTAAGCCCTCCGCATCTACGACCCAAATGCTTACAAGTCTACCGAGCATGCCACCCTATTTAATCCTGCCCGTTACTAACATTTATTATACTGATTACTCGTTACATGTGTGATTTGTAACGGTTAAGGTAATAAGGACCAATCACGCACAATCAGGGATTATGCTGATTTCTTTCCATATTCGTGGATATTAATGAACCTTCCTTCTTCGTGGCTTTTAATATCATTAATTATTTATTCCGTACCTGTATCCTCTTTTCTAGCTAATAGGCATGGTATCTTCATAGACGATCTCGTGGGTGTTACTTATACCTTCTCTGTTCTTCACCCTTCTTTATTGCTTCGATTTCTATGCCACATGTCAGCATATTATTGGTCTACGTAGTGAGTTTATTTTTCACCAATATAGATAGTCCCCCCACTTTTTGAATATTCGGGAAGTTGAGAGTTTATTTATGACGGGAATGTCTTGCCGCCTCTTTCCGGTATCATTATGATATGCATCAGAAGTGAAGAGACCTATGTCTCTTCCATTTAATGCACCCCATATGTATGAATGTTTCCATACGAGTCTAGGATGCCAGTGCATGCTCAAGACTAAATCCTTTCCACATGATCAATATCAATGCACGCACGCACATACACATTCACACACAACGCTCACAATCCCCAAGGTACAATGGGCGATTACATGACTCCACGGGGACGGATCAATATCCAAGTGTTGTACAAATAACTCATGTGCTGTACGGACAACTCATGTGCCAATAATAATATCATTTACATGGACAATTCACGTATTGCACGGACAACTCAAGTATTTCACAGACAACTCACATGCACTAACTATACCACTCGCACGGATAAATCACGTGCCATAACCAATCCAATATTACAATAACCGCATGGCAGTGACCTCGTGCCATAATCATCTCCACTGCACGGACAACTCACTTGACGTGATCTCAATCCATATACAAGAACCATATGCAGGGATGTATATATATGAATAAGAGATAAGCTTATCTAATGCACATGGCTAGAGGAATAACCATGTAGGGATGTATGGATATGTACAATAGATGATCTCTAATCATGATGTACGCTTATATGTGATGTGTCACTATTGCCCCAACATATGATTTATCCTCCAAATAAATATCATGTCTAATTAAGCATCAAAAAGTAAACACGATATCTTACATGATTAAGGGAACTCAAGTAGTCATACAACATTTTAAGGCATATCACAAAAATAACAATTACGAATGTGTGTTCATAATACACGTGTCACTATGGCCAAATCAAGTACATCAATAAATTTCAAGAATAGCCCATAGACTCAAATAATATATCATAATTGAAAACATAATTTTTAGCATGAATAATTGTGTCACTTAATCATAAAATTCAAGTAGGGCATAAGTCAAATAGAATACACATCTAATCAAGGCATAAAATTTGAGATTCTTATGGTGATTTATGACTTGTGGTGTAAAATTTGAGGTCATTCTGAGTTGTTTAGGCATGTTCGGCGTAAGTTTGAAAGATGAAAGTTTGGATTAATTCATTAACTTTTAATTGGTGTGAGATTCTTGATTTTGATATTTTTTGGTTATTTGAGGCCTCGAGTAGGTCCGTGTTATGTTTTAGCATTGGTTGGTGTGATTTGACGGGGTCCCGGGGACTCGGATGCGTTTCGGATGGGTTTCAAACCATTTTCCCTTGTTTTGGATCATATTTCTAGTAATATATACAAACACCTCAAATTAATATGCTACTATTCTTTGTATCACACCTTTGAGCATAATATGAATAAAAGAATTTTTGAGAAAAATTAAAAAACAAGCAGTATACTGAAGGACGTTTGCTTATATATAGAGCTGAACTCATAGCAGCTCATTCACCTCTACTTCTACAGTTTTTTTCATAAGCATTGTTTGCTTTCTACGTCTACTTATAATCTCTTTCCTTTCTCTTTATCTAGGCACTAGCTTTGTTTATCTGTAAAATGGTATAGTTAAATTTATAATGTGGTTTATAGACACATAAATTAAGTTGATCCGAAAAAATAAAATATTGAAAAAATTGAATAAAATAAGAAATAATTGAAGAAGAAACGAGTCTGGGCCTCAAATTATGCTTTTCCGGTAGCAAAAGCAATATCAAGAACAAAGTACCTAGCAAAGTAATGTAACAAAGTAAGAGAATAAGTTTAGCCTTTTTCATACAAGTATTGCGTGTCCCTATAATGAGTACTAATTGCTCTATTTATAGCTAAATTAAGGAAGACAAGATCCCCAAATGAAGCTCCTCTTTAATGTGAATAAAGACCCCTCTTGATAGCTGCATAACGGCTGAGTGTAACTACTAAGATTCTTTGTAATGACTGCAGATTCGTTCTTTGCCTGCTCAAAAATTCAATAATATCTCACGTCGATATGCTTTGTTCTTGCATGGTACATACTTGCTCAAGTCTATTGAACTCTATTGCCCCTGAGGATATGTTGACCAAGGTAATACCGAGAGACAAGTTCGAGCTATGCAAAGAACTTGTCGACATGAACTCTGTATGGAAAAACTGAAGATACCTCATTCGGGTGCATGAGACTGGAGTGAAAAATTTGATGGGTCCATCCCATGCCCATGCGAAAGGAAGACAACTTCCTTTGGCTTTGAAATGTCAAACCAACCAAGTGCACACTAAGAATTTTTTTTTTTCCTGGTAGATCATCCTTTGGTTTTACAATATGGTATTTGACTTTTGCTACTAAAATGACATCACTGATGATATCAATAAAGTAATCCTAAGCACTATAAATATGTGACTTTGCTCTAAGTTGTAAAATACACCAAACAGAGAGAAAGAGAATAATTCACCGAGCAAGAAGCGAAATACTCTGCGAGGAAAAATATAGTTTGAGCGGTATTATAGTGAGGTAGAAAAATTAAAATTTATTTCTTTTGAGTGTGCAGTGGTCTTGAAGTATTTTAGTCCGTATTTTAGTTGGCACAAGTAAATAAAATATCCGGGTCAGCACAGAAATTGTACTTAGTTTTATCTGACAATTTAGTCTACTTTAATTTCATTGTTACCTAAGTCTTAATTGCCTATTATACAAGCCTTGATGCCTGAAGTGTTTATTAGCATGCAATTTTCCACATTGTATCCTTTACATTTGTTTTTTGAGCAGTTATTTCTTGTGAAGATTCGACTGGATTATGTTGTTGAAAAAGATGTGATTTTGTCCCCATTCTGCAGATTATGATTGTGTCTGGAGTTTATGTATTAAGGGTACTTAGATGCCGTTTAGGCAGGTCCTACCCTTGCTAAATCGATGCCACCTTTAGTTGTCTTAGTCAAAATCAATGTGGATGGAGCAGTCGATATTGGAGCTGCTAGGATTGTTTTTTTCGTTTGAGACCATGAAGGTAATCAATTAGCTTCACAATCGCAGCATTTTTCTTTCAATATTGATGGTGAAATGATTGAAGCTTGGGCAACTTTGAAAGGAGTTACACTAGGTTATCTCTTTTTTAATGGCTCGCTCCTGACCTGCTTGTAGTCAAATGTAATTGGTATGCAGCCTATTTGTGTTATATGATGAATTTAAACATATATAGAAAGCACGCCATAGGAAAAATGATAGGAAATCATGGTTCCCTTTGGAGAAGAACCAAAACAGCAGAGTTCCGCCTACTCAAAACTAAGAGGATGAATCAAACATTTGAATAAGGGTTGCTAAGTCAATAATTTCATCAAATGTTGGAGAAAAGGTTTTTTATTGGAATAGTCCGAGACTATACATGTCTCGTTCTCACTGCTGTTATCTATTGCTTTATCTCTGTTGAATATTTACTCAAGATTTCTTTTTGTGTGTTACAGGGCCCCTCTAATTAGTTTGCGCCTTGCCTACGGTGGCTATAAACAAGTTTGAATGCGTATTTCCTTTAGGGCATGATTCGAAGCTTTTAATCTTAATGATATAAAGATGAGAGGAGAGCTAGGTCTTATTCCAATGTGAAATTATTTTTCTTGGTTATGTCAATATTCAATGTAACCCGATTTTCTTATAGGTGAACTACATTTTGGTTTTTCCCTCCATAAGATGAGCCTACTGTGATTTAGCAAAAGTAGCAGATGGTGACTAGGGTTGTCACTAGGTTAGGCCTCTTTACTGAGCATAATTTATCTGATGTCCTCAGAAATAACTGCAGCTTTCTTTCATTTTTTGCCTGCTACCACCTATATGCATTGATTCAGGTATTTGCCAAACATATGTGGAAAGTGTGTTGTGTGTATCTGTGGGTGAATCCGCGGAGCACAAACTCACTCTAGTCATTTCACATGTGGTTTAATATAGCCTGTGCTAGTGTGAAGTAGTGTTATGCCCTAATCCTTGAGCTCACACTCATCCTACAGTTGTTTCAATTATGGTTTCATTTCATAGAGTCTCTAAGTTTGAGAAGCAGTGTTATTGGCTAATCCTTATCCTTAATTGGTTGATCATAAGTCTCAGTAGGCTAACAATTTTCCTTTTCTTACTTTGGGCTTTATTTGATGATTATGTCTATGTCTATGTAAGTAAGAATGAGAGGAAGGGCCTTAAATTGAGTAAGTGGTTGAATAAGGATCTTCTACAGAATAAATTGTACCTTGCTGAGTAACATGGATTTATAACTTAGTTTAGAGCTATTACAGTAACTTAGTATAAGAGGTGGTTCACATACAAACTAAGTGGGTCATGTAGGCAAACATTCATCCTTCGCTCGAGTTAAACTTGAGAAAAATATAAGAGAAGGAATAAAAAGGGCAAAGGAAAAGGAAAAGAGAAACTGGATATGGCCAACTGAGCTTAACTCAGTACAGTTAGGTTATTTGTGGTTTTACCAGTAAGGTTGGGCTGAGTAGCTAAACCGTATGTTTCACTACTTCACTTGCAGATAAAATTACTTGCAAATAATGTTACTTCATTGGCATGTTGAAGTTTGTTTGTGAAGCTTTGGTTTAGAACTTGACCTTTGATTAGATTGTAATTTTCCATTGCATTCCTTCCAAGTTGTTGGTTCTCCAGAACAATATTTTTCTCCCTTATTTCTTTTCTGTCTTGTTAACTCTTACGTGTATCCGCCCAAAAGTCGAAGTACAACTATGGTTACATAAGCTGTGTTTAATGTGGACTTTTCTTCTCATTTAATAAACACCTTTTCCATCTGTCAGTAGAAATGTAATCTAACACTTCTACTTATTTTTGTGTGATTTTTTGGATCTAATAATTTATATATTGTTCTGTGTAAAACTACTCATGTCCAAGCGATATGATAATATTTTTGAACTTTTCTTCTCATTTGATAAGCACTTCTCCATCTGTCAATCTGATCGTTGAAGTAGATATGTATTCTAACATTTTTTACTTAATGTTTTCTGGTTTGATTATTCAGATCTATTGATTTGTATATTATTTCGTGTTAGATATATTTATTTCTTTGTGATATGATGATTTATACCCTTGTGATATGACTTGTTATTATGATAGAAGTTGACTTTGCTCTATATCCAGAGTCTAATGTCCTTAAAATGGATAGTAATTGATAAGTGCAAAGGGAAAAGGAATCTAGTGCACATGCATACAGGGTTGACCTTTGGTTTAGTTGAAGAAAATAAATATAATGGCAGGTGGAAACATTTAATTCCTAAATATAAAATTATGAATAAGTGGAAACCAAAGAGAAGAAAGAAACTTTTAGAGGTTGTTTCAAATGGTTGATTTGTACCTCAGCTATTCTTCTTCTTTCCCTTGCAATTTATGTTCACAAGAGTTTCTGTTATCACAACTTCTTAAAAAGAAAAGGAGAGATGTCTTCAGACAAATACATGTTTGTAAAGAAAATTCATCCTCTTGAATGTCTGCAAGCCATTGAAAGAGATTGGGGCTTCCTCTTGTCGCCGGGTATTGCAATGGAAGAAATCAAGTTCCTTAAAAGGGAATTCAAATTCCTCGATATTTTTCCCAGATTGCAGAGCTTCAAATATGAATGTAACATGCAAGATGTCACACAGGAAGTTCCAACTCTGTTTGATGATGTTATAGTTGACCTGAACGAGATCTACAAGTATCCATATCCAAAAACAAAATTTGATCCCTTAATCTCTCAAGTGAAAAACAAGATTTGGATAACCAAGTTGGACATCAGAGCTAAATATTCTTTTCAGAAAACGTCATTATGGCCTTCAGCCAACAAGGACGGTGCTGCTACTTCCAAAATTGTACTCGAATTTGTTGATGCAGTTGTTGAGATTCTTGGTGATCTAGTGCAGACTGATGATCCTAGTTCCCTACATTATGTTCCGGAACCAAAGGACCAAATTAAAGAGATTTTAAAGGAGTTGAAGTTACTGAGATTTTTCGTCTACTTTGTTTCAATTAAATGCATAGAGCCTCAAAGCCGACATACTTTCTTCAGTCACGTTTTAATAGTGGCTGGCCACGCAGCAATCGTTGTATGGTTGTATTTGCCTAGCCGTGGCGATAGAAATGATCAAGACTTGGCTCCAAGTGAAATGAATGCTATGCTTTCTGATCTCATGCAAATGAAGATTAAGCCCATTCAGCCAGGCATCCGCAAAATCTATATTGATGTCCTGCAAGATTTGAAGTCGGCAATACAATCAGAAATGCATCCCAACATTCAAAACAAGCATGCAGCTGACAGTGGCTTTGTTGAGACTCTTGCGCACGATTTGGTGGAGCTACCAACTAGTAGTAATGCTTGTCAGGTATTTGTTTTGAATGATCAAATGGCAATCCTTCAGGAGATACTCAGCAACTTAAGAGGCATTCTCATCCATCTGCCAACAGTAAATCTTGATTTTTGTCTTCAAGATATGGACACTGTTATTGTTGATGCCGGATTTCTAATTTACTCATTATATGATATCAAGGGGGAGAAGGAAGACACGATGTTGGAGGATATCAACCGAGCACTTAACCTTGATCTTCCGAGCAACATTGTGCCTATCAAGTCAATGATCTACCTCATCGTTCGAAAGGCATTTCCTAACTTGCGAAGGATTCATGGACTAGGCTATGTTGATTTTCTTCTAAATAACCTAAAGGAGTTCCAAGGCCGTTATGCAAATTCACTTGCTTTCATCAAGAACCAACTTCAAATTATTCAGAAGGAGCTTGAGAGCTTGCAACCTTTTCTAAAAGCTGTTGCAGAAGAGCAACACCATAAGTTCAAGACACTTCAAGTTTGTGCTACACAATTGATTAGCAAAGCATATGAGGTGGAATATGTAGTTGACGCAGCTTGTATAAGCAAAGAAATACCTAACTGGTGTCTCAAGCTTTGGCTCCTAGATATCATAGAGGAGATAACTCGTATCAAAGCAGAGGTAGCAGAGATTCCAGAAAAGCAAATGGCCGAGGTTGACTTAGTATTACATGATACCATTGATACTTCCACTGTTCATACATCATCACAATTGGCAAGGAATCAAAGCATAGCTGATGAAATTGTGGGATTTGGAGACGTGATACAAGAATTGAGAAGACGACTAATCAAAGAACCTAAACAGCTGGATGTTATCTCAATCGTAGGCATGCCTGGTCTGGGTAAGACAACTTTGGCCTACAAACTCTATTATGACAAGTCAATTATCTCTCACTTTGATATTCGTGCACAATGTTGTGTGTCTCAAGTATATACATTTCGGAATTTATTACTAGCCATTCTATGTGATGCTATTGGCGAGGACTCTAAACATAAAAACAAGTCTACTAATGAATTAGCTGATGAGCTTCGTAGAACTTTACTACCCAAAAGATACCTTATCCTTGTTGATGACGTGTGGGAAGCTAGTGCATGGGATGATTTAAGGCCTTGCTTCCATGATTCCAAAAATGGAAGCAGAATCATTCTAACAACTCGACATTTTGAAGTTGCCAATTATGCTACATCTGTTAGTAAAGCCATTCCTCTTCGTATGTTTAGCGATGATGAAAGTTGGAATTTACTAGAAAATAAAGTGTTTGGTGAAGAAAGCTGCCCCCTTCCCTTTGAAGAAGTTGGGAAAGAAATAGCAAAAAAGTGTGGAGGGCTGCCTCTTTCAGTTGTTTTGATGGCTGGTATTCTGTCAAAGATGGAGAAGAAAGAAGAGAGTTGGAAAGAAGTGGCTGCGACGTTAAGTTCCCACATACACAGTGATTCAAAAGCTATTGTAGAACAAAGTTATCAGGATTTACCCTTTCATCTTAAGCCTTGCTTCCTTTATTTTGGAGCATTTTTAGAGGATAAAGTGATTGACGTTTCAAAGTTAACAAGGTTATGGATATCAGAAGCATTTATTTTAAGTTACGAAGGCAAGAATTTGGAGGATATAGCAGCAGGTTACTTGGAGAATCTTATTGGAAGAAATCTAGTGATGATTGCTGAGAGGGCCAGTTTAGATGGTAAAGTTGAAGCATGTCGGATTCATGATGTATTGCTCGAGTTCTGCAAGATAAGAGCAACGGAAGAGAATTTTCTACAGTGGATAAAATGGTAATATATACTGTACCAATTAGTGGTACTTTATTTGTTCAATTAATCAAGTATTTTGCATTACATTTGGAAATTAATGTTATGATTTACTAGTTTAAATATTCACAGTGATATAATATTCAAGTTATATTTGAAAATCAATGTTATGATTTAACAAATTATATTTCCACAGGGATCAGAATGCCAATCCTTCTTCCTGTATTTACTCTTACAAGCAGCATGCTCATGGTCGCTTGGCCTTTAGTGATGTGGGTACTCTTGAAAAATGGAGCTCGTCTTGCTCACTTGTTGGCTCTATACTTTTCAGAAAAGATACCTTACTCCGTTTCACAATTTCACGCATATTTCACAATTTCAAGTTTCTGAAAGTCTTGGATTTGGAGGGCACTGTTAATGTTGATTGTTTCCCAATTGAGCTAATTTACTTGAGGTATTTTTCTGCAAGATATGTTCTGGAGTCAGTTCCATCATCCATAGTCAATCTTTGGAACTTGGAAACTCTGATATTAAATGGTAGTGGAGGAAAGTTGTCATTACCCTTTACAGTTTGGAAGATGGTTAAACTGAGATATCTACATGCCTCTCCGTACTTCGTTATAAATAATGCAGAAGAATCACTTGAGGACTCCTCAGAACTTTATGATTTAAAGTCGCTTTCCTTTCCATGTTTTTCTTGTGTGGGAGATGCAGATTTGATGCTGAGAAAAACACCTAATCTTCGGGAACTGACATGCAGAATCAAGGGTGTTAGCAGAGATCAGTTCCCTGTATTGGATTTTCCACCACGACTTGAAACGCTACACATCCATCCTACGCTTGCAGAATCCCAATGTGGATACCCTGTATGCATTTCCGCATCAAATCTAAAGAAATTGACAGTAACACTTTTTAGATTGGGCCTTCAGCACTTATCAAACATTGCTCAGCTTCAGAACCTTCGGGTGCTAGAATTGCTTTCTGTTAAATTTGACGATGGAAAATGGGAAGTGAGCAATGACGAGTTCACTCAGCTCAAAGTCTTGAAACTCTTGAATGGTTACTTTAAAGATTGGACTGTTGCCGATGATGCCTTTCCTAATCTTGAACACTTGGCTTTGCGTCAATGTTTCGATCTTAAGGAGATCCCAACATGTTTCGGAGACATCTGTTCCCTTAAGTCCATTGAGGTACGAGAATGCAACGAATTTGTTGACAAGTCAGCCAGGGATATTTGGGAAACACAAGCTGAAGATTATCAGAATACTGATTTCGAGGTCTTTATTCATAAGTCCATGGCACACAAGGATAACAATTCGGATTACGGTACTCTACTGAAAATTCCTACCACGTCCATAACTCACTTTTTTACTCTGATAATTGCATTCTCCTTACTATAACTTGCCTGTTACTAATTTCTTCATTCCTACTGTTTGATACCTTGACACAGATGATTGGTTATGAAAATGATCTATAAAGCAAGACAGAGGAGCTGTAGCCGAAACTTTAAGGTTTTTTGTTTATCTTCAACTAGTGCTGTGCATTTTATTTTCAGTTTGATTTTGTTTTGTTGATTTTCATTTTCGAAAATATGTTTTAGAGACATAATTAAGTAATTAAATAAAAGTGTGCTCTCTCAGCAGTTTAAACTTTTAGATGAGAGGCACGTGCTTGACCCATGTAAAATAATCAGACTTGCATGTCAAGGGGCGTGATAGAGACATAATAAAGTTAATAAAAGCGCTCTCTCTTAGTCTCTTGTAACAGCCGAAAATTTTGGGCCAAGCAAATTGGTTGCCACATGGCCTAACACTTAGAAATACACACACAAAAAAGAAATAAAGCAACTAATAAGGAAAACCAGAGAAAGGATAAGCAACACCTTTTCAGCCATTTAAAGGACAAGTGCATGCCTGTGTTGAACTATATATAATTAGGCGGATTGATTTAAAATGTTTTTTCTTTTATGACATGACTAAGATTTCATAGGCATCTTTAATACAGTTAGGCATAACCCAGGCTACTTGTAAAGCCGAATGGAGCAGAGGTTATGGATGGAAAGGACCCCGAAATGGTGGGACCCTCTTCCTCAATGACTGTGGATGAGAAGGGGATGTTCATGTAGGAGGAGGACGATGAGGTGGTGAATGAGGAGGTGCCACTAATTGGCAGAGGAGAGTGCAGGATTTGCCGGGAGGAGGATTCTTTGGACCTATGTTGCTCGGACTCTCCGAAAATGTCGCCGGGTGCATGTCGAATCCTCCAAAAGTAGTGTATTTTTGGAGGATCCGATACAGGTGTAGCAGCATTTTGGAGAGTTTGCACAACCTAGCTTTGGACAAGTTGGAGAGCCCATGTGCTTGCAGAGGAAGTCTCAAGGTGAAGTCTTTATCTCCCTTGATTTTTTGTTGTATGATATGGGGATACCATTTATGCTTAGGAGTAGTTTGGTCAGTGGTATGGGTTTGGATGTGTGAGAAATAGAATATGAGAGAGAAATGAAAGAATTCATTCAGTTGATTATTCTCCTAAGCTATTGGGTGTTAAATAGTACATGCACCTTATTTAAAATAGGAAAGAAATGAAGGCACATAATTATGATACACCAATATTTCCCTAATTGATTCTAACTTATACACACAATTTTCTTAACACTCTCTTTTAAGCTGGTGCATACAAGTTGTATGTACAAAGCTTGTTACAAATGTACTTAATTCGAGAACCAGTACGGAACTTAGTGAAAATATATGCAAGCTGATAATTTGACTTCACGAACTTTGTGACAATATGTCCCGAGAATAATTTGACTTCACGAACTTTGTGAGAATGTGTCCTGAGAGTATCTTTTCTCTAACAAAATGACAGTCGATCTCTATGTGTTTAGTTCTCTCATGAAACACCGTATTTTGATGCAATATGAAGAGTTGCTTGATTATCACACACACAAGTTCCATCGCTCCCTAATATGTCCAAAATTCAATTCTTTAAGCAGTTGTTTGATCCAAAATTCAATTCAGGAACTGAGATGCGAATTCAAGCCTCCAGCAAAGATATTCCAGCGTGTTCAAAGTCGTCTGTTCCCTGTTTTGGATTTTCCAGCACGGCTTGAGAAGCTAGACGGTTTTGGTTCAGTACCTACATACTTCGGTGCATCAAATCTTTAAAATTTGACATTAAGCTGTTGTGGACTGGCCTTTGGTGCTTATCAGACATTTTTCAGCTTCAGAACCTTCAGGCACTCGAACTGAGAACCGTTGAATTTGGAAGAGTTTGGAAAGTGAGCAATGACGACTTCCCTCAAGTCAGTCATAAAACCAGAATATTTGTCCCTGATAGAATGAACTGTCCCTGATGATGCCTTCCCTAACCTTGAACGGTTGTTTCTGTTATTGCAAAAAGCTTAAGGAGATCCTTCTTGGTTTGACGACATCTCTTCTCCAAAATACATTGACGTAGAGAGCTGCAACGATTTTTTTTGCTCAGTCAGCCAGGGATATCCGAGAAAAAACAAGTTGAAGATTATCAAAATACAGATTTCAAGCTCTTCGTCAGAGAATTATACAATAAAACTATATTCAGTCTCATATTTAAACTCTTTCCCTTACTTTACAGGTTTCTTTTTACTAAATATTCCTTTTGTTTGATACCTTGTTTAAAGCCTTATTATTGATTGAATGTTTTATCTGTTGAAGAAAAAAGTTCTTGAAATAGAAGTACTATCTAATTTAAAAAAGTAAGGTGAACGTTTTAGCGATGAAAGATAATGAACTCATCAATGCATACATATCACAAATAAGCTCTTTGGTCAAGGCAAATCACAGATGATTGGTATAATGACAATATCCACAGATCTGTTGGTTTGCAGATGATTTTCAAAGCAAGGTGGAGGAGCTGGTTGCTGGAAGCTGCAATCTAAGGTTTTATCAATTTTGAACTGATATTTCCTGAATGTAGCAACACATATATCTGTTGGATGATAAATGAACACTAATAGCCCGTTTAGCCAAGCTGGAAAAGTCAGCTTACTTTGAAAAATGTTTTTTCCAAAAATACGTTTCAAAAAAGTTCTTTTGGAGAGAAGCAATTTGTGTTTGGCTAATCAATCTAAAAAGCATTTTTGAGCAATAATTTGTGTTTGGCCAAGCTTTTCAAAAAGTATTTTTAAGTATCAAATGACAAATAAGGACATGAAAAGATTTACTTAGTAGTTAATATTATATGAATAAATAAATAAACTCAATATTTATTATTAAAGATAATAATAAAGTTTTTTCATTTTATTTAAGTAAATCATAAAATAAATTAAAAGTACTTTAATTCTCAAGATGATTTAAATATAAAAAAAAATCGTCATTCAACAAGTATAAAAGTATTCATCCCAAAAGTCACCATATATTAGAAAGTTATTCTAAAAATAAAAAAATTATTTATACATTAGGAGAGTTCAATAATATAATCTCTAATTCTAAGTATTAGGTTTAAAATAAGTAAGGTTATTTTGGTATATACCATATTTTACTAAGGTTATTTTGGTAAGAAGAAAAGTCAAAACTGCTTCTACTTCTGCTTTTGGGGAGAAGCTATTTTTTTCTGCTTCTGCTTCTTCCCAAAAGCATTTTTGTCTCCCAAAAAAAGATTGGCCAAACATCTCAAGTTGAGACAAAAAAATATTTTTTGGGGGAAAAAAAACACTTTTTGGCTAGAAAGAAGCTTGGCTAAACGGGCTATAAGGCGTGTCTGATACAAAGTAAGATATCTGTGAAACCAGTTTTTATTATTTATTGGTCTAAAGCATTAAAAAAGTGTATTCCTCAAGCAAAAAATATTAGAACACCAACAAGAGAAAGACCATAACTTTGTCTGGTCATTTGTTTATGTATATTTTGTAGCTCTAAAAATTCTAGACAACAGTTACTACTATACTTTTTGAGCTATTAACTCATTATGGTATTTCTTTTAACTGACTGATGAGTTTGTAGCTGGAGCAATTTGGAAGATCAATATGCAATATTTTTATGAGTTATTTCTTTAATAGATTCTGTAAAATTATCAGTCAGTTGCATGCATTGTAAGTCATTAGATTTTGTCTTGATAAAATATAAGGGTCCATCAAACTCTATAGAGAATCAGGTTCTCTATCAGTTCCACTAGAACACACGCACACATCAGTACAAATGACAAGAGGAATTTTACATGGAAAATTTCTAGCTCAACGGGATTAAAAACCACGACATACCCTTGTAGGATTTCAACTTCACTACTGAGCAACTTTTAGATTACAACCTATGCAACCTAAGAATTAACCTCTTAATCCCTTACTACTCCCTCCGTTTCATATTAAATGATGTACTTTCCTTTTTAGTCTGTTCCAAAATAAATGACACATTTCTAAATTTGGAAATAATTTAACTTTAAACTCTTCATTTTACCCTTTTTGCCTTAATGAGAAGCTTTTATAGCCACACAAATGGCATGGCCCCACAAACCTTTTACCCTTTAAACTTTTAAGACCACAAATTTCAAAAGTCTTCTTCTTTTTTCTTAAACTCTGTGCCGAGTCAAACTACCTCAAACAATATGAAATGGAGGGAGTAACTTGTAATACTCTATTACAAGCCACTTTGTAATAACTCTATTACAAAGACTTTACAACTCGACTAACTCTAGCCAAGACTCAAACACACATGGATTTAAGATTTACAAAAGGGGTTCCTACAAAATGCTTCTAAACAAGCTAAGTACGAAATATAATTGAAGAACTATTACAAAGTTACAACTCAACTAAGGACATACAATGACTCGATGTGGGAACTGGTCCGTAGTTGTTTTATTCTTTGTTCTTGAATCACTTGAACTTGCTTGCTGGATAGTCACATGAGTGAGCTTGAGTGAAATTTCTAAGTGTTCAAGTGAATGTGTTTTACCTTCCTTGATTGTATTAATACATGTGTGACATCACTTACAATGATGTAAGCAAGGTAGGTAAAAAGTCTTCCACAGAAAGTTGACTGCTGCACTATTTCTGTACTGTAGCGTGTGTAGGCAGCAACTTTCCAACTGGAGAGTTGACTTCGTACAGTAACCTTGGGAACTAGTAAGGACCTGTCCCTCAGTTGTTCCTTCTACTTTGAAGAGTTGAGCCATATTCCAAGCTGGAACCTTGTGATCTTACGGTCTTGTAAATGTGTAACAGGTTCCTTATCTGGTTCTAGATAGTAAGTTTGTTAGATCATCAAAACATAAAATAAAGTACTTATGACCAAGGTACTTGTAACCTATCAATTTCCCCCTTTTTGATGATGACAAACTCATAATTGAAAATCCCATAGAGCCATATAGAACCAGACATCGAACCAGAAAGACCTTAACTTTCCCCCTGGATCTGTACCCAAACCTCAGTGAGTTCCCCCTGAATCTCTGCATTCCCCTTTAATCAGTTTAAACCACAATGCAATTATTCTTCCTGTCCCCTCAGTGTCAAGTCTATAATCTAGTTTGTGGTTCAGTTCCTCAATGTCAGTTCTCATGATGATAACTTGTGGTATTTTGTTGGTTGTTCTAATTTGTGGATGTGGTAGTAACATTGACTCTGCTCTTGCTGTAAAATCCAAATTATGTTAATGTAAGCTTTTCCTTTTTTGCTGTTTATACCTTGCTTTTATGCTCTATTTTTAATCACGACTATGCGCACATAAGTGGCATGAGTTATCTTAAATCTAGACTTCCTTCTTGCTTATTCAAGGAGAACTGGAAGGAGAAGGTTTGGAGGTAGAGGAAATTGTTTGGAGGACTAAATCCATTCGAGCATTTGCTGACATTTGCTCATTGAGCAGTCTCTCTTTCAGGTCCTCCACTTGTTTCCTGAGCTCAGCGTTCTCCTTTGTCAGGCGAGCAACCTCTTCGCTTTGAGAGCGAATGAACCAGGTGCCTCTTACAGCTGACTTAACTGAGTCTCAAGGATAACATTCCTTTCTTTCAATTGCCTTATCTCAGTAGCAGCACTGTTTTGAGCATTTATTGACTGAGATATGGTAGAAGTGCTTGCAACCCATCCAAATTTCTCTGTACACTCACATTCTTCAAGAGTGACTTTTGAAAAATTTTGCTTCTTGGAGTCCACTTTAACTTGTCCGAGAGGAACCTTGAAGTGCTCAAAGACCTTGGTAAGAAGGAACCCATATGGCAGCCCATGATTACCATCTTTAAAGTCTGCCACTTTATTCATGTGCTCTATCATGATCCCAAGCAGATTGATGGTAGTGAAGTTGTCCAGTGCTTCCATGAGGAACAGTTCTGCACGAGAAGTGATGGATCTTCGCTTAGCTCGAGGCAGTAAGACTTTGTTTACCATCTCAAATAGCAGTTGGTATATAGGAAGGAGGGCCTTCTTCTGAACATGTTCCCCCTGCTGAACTGCTCTGTCCTTCAAGATTGCGTTTCTGAAGTTTTGAGTACAAGCTCCCTGAACACTAGACAGCCCTTCAGCAGGCACACCAAGAATATATCCCAACAAGACAGAGTCCATTACCATATAAACTCCATTCATCAAGGCACAAATGTGACCATCCTCAACCTTGAACAGGTCGGCATAAAAACTTTGAACTTCCTCCTCATATACCCTAGCAACATCACTTGTGAACAAGTGTGTCCATTGTTGGAACTCACAAATCTCAACCAATTGTCTCATACCAGCCTCCTCCACGACATCAGGGGCAAATGTGCGTCCCCACAGCACCTTTTGACTTCTCAATCTCTCTTTACCAACACTCCCCGGATCATCAACTCTGACCTTCTTTGAGGAACCAGGTTCCTCATTAGTATCAGCCATTCTCTTAGCAGTCTTGCGAACGCTCTTCTCCTTTTTATCAGAATTTACAAATTTTCACCTAATTCTTTCAGCACATTCTTAGTAGCAACAACATCATCAGACTTAGTCAGACTTTTAGCAGACACATAAGATCCCCCTTTTGGCTTGAGAAGTCCATGCTTTTGTGATAACTTCCTAGTCAACATACTAGGTTCCTCCGCTTCTTCTTCATCCACATTCACAATAGGCACTATTTTCTCATTTACAACTTTGCCATCTTTCATTAATTTTCTTCTCCTTGACTATTCTTAAGCGCAGACTCAAAAGCCTCTTTCTTTTGCAACCTTGTTGTGGGTCGCTTAGGAGTTGGCTCTTCATCAACAGCTAATCTACGCCTAGGCAGACTGGCAATTGGTAAATCATCAGAATCTGCTTCACTATCCTCCTTTTGTTCTTCAGACACAGGTCTTGTCTCAAGCATAATCACACTTAGAGGCATAACATCTAAATAAGGAGAGGGAGCAGGGTCAGCACTGACCTGGGGTTCCTGAGAGAGACCTTGAGTTGGATCCTCCGAAGGAGGATCAGGTCCTTCAACAGGTTCCCTGGTAGCACCTTCCTGTGCTGAAGGTTTAACAAGCACAAGCTCATTATCCTCTCCAACAGGCTCAGACTCTTCCCCCTGAGTCTTAAGACCATCCTCACTTCCTCTGACAAAAACCCCTTCATTGGCGATGGACAACATATTTTCTATGGCTTCCTTTTCTTGTAGGTCCATGGGAAACTCAGGAAAAGTAGGAGTGTTACCTATGGACAAGGGA